GAGTTCCAGGTCACCTGGGGCTACAGGGAGACCCTGTCTCAAAAAGACCAAAAAAAAAGAGAGAGAGAGAGAGAGAGAATTAAAAAGGTGGTAAAATCAGAATTTTATGAAGGACTAGCACATAGTCTGAGTTTTTCATGAGGTCCCATTAGGGGAAGGGTAAGATTTCAATAAGTGGAGGAGGGAGAGAAGGGTATGCCATAAAACAAGAATGACAAACAAATGTGTTGGAGGCTGTGTGAAGAATGCCAGGATACCAATTCGGTTAGGACAGGCAGAGTCTTGAAGTAAAAGGCCTTTGGGCTTTAGGGAAACAAAATTCAGCTGCTGAAGATTTTTAAGGCTACAAGTACCAAAACAAAAGGTATATTTATAACAGTCCCTGATTCCTGAGCCAGTTACATCTCAAGTGTATGTATCTATGTTAACTGAAGTTACTAAATTTATATATTATATATATTTTGTATATATTATATATATATATATATATAGTGTGTGTGTGTGTGTGCGCGCGCGCGCGTGCAGTATAGGACCTCTGCATTGATTTTAGAAAACTTGGACTTACAATCCAAAGCATATTTTCCTTAGATGACAACGTCTGGCTTGGAATCTGAGTGTGTATGTGTATGGGAGGAGGGAGGAGTGCATGCACAAGTGTGCAGGTGCACATGCATGCAGAGGTCAGAGAAGGATATATGTCTTTCTCTATTGCTGCCTTATTCTCTTCAGAGAGGGTCCCACTGAACCAGAATTTCCCTGTTTGGACTAGATAGCCTGGCTAGCCAGCTGTTTTCTAGGATCTGCCTGTCTCATGTCCCCGTGGCTGAGATTACAGGCACACACAGCAATGCCTGGCTTTTTACATGGTACTGAGGCTTCAAACTTAGGTCCCCACACTTGGCATAGCAAGTGCTCTTACCCAGTGAGCCAGCCATCCCCCCAGCTCCTGGCTTGAAATTTTTAATTCACCTTTATTTATAACAGTAATCATTCTTTATGCATTAGCAAAATCAACAAGGTTACATGTCATATTTCTTAAGGCAGTTTCTTAAACTCCAACTTTGTGTTAAAATTGCTTTATATCACACACAAAATTTCCTCACATCCCTTATTCCAAAGAGAAAGATCTTGCTTTCTTTCTTGCAGGCTAAAAATTAGGCCTATAAATCCACGGCAAAATGAAATGGAATCAACCTGTGAATCTGCAATCATAGAAAGTTTTTAACAGGCTGGCTATTCTAGGAGCAGAAACTGCTTTCTTTATGTGTACAAACTAGAACATGCACAAATGCCTTTTTCTAGAGAAAGGACCAAACCAGGAATGCTGTCATTATGCCACATATTTAGGTACTTATCCTATTTGGTTCCTCAAAATCAGATATTTAACTATGCCAAGTGTTGAATTTCACTTAAAAATATTGTCACCAAAAAGTAGTGTAAATCACTGACATAGTCATTGCAAAGGCCTCCTAGAATATTATATCCTATTTGTACTCAGACCTATGACAAGGCAGAGAGGAACAGATATGAATGTAAAAAAAAATAGAGAAAAGTTCTACTCGGGACATAGAAACAATCTCATTTGGGGACCTCCGATTAAGCAGAGGAGAGTACCCAGTTTTTAAGGGAGCCTGTCTCTTCTACGACATTCCAGTTGAGTGTCAAAGAGTCGCCAGTTATCAGTGGCCACTGGAAACTCTCCAATGATGAATCAATCCTGCTTCCTACTCTGAGGAGACAAGGCCAGGAGCCACAGGTTGCCTCAGCCAGACAGAACCGTCCTGAAAGCGAGAATGGCGACCTGAGTGACTGACATTCATGAAACAAAGGTTAACACGGAGGCACAAGAGGAGGAGACAGAAAATCAAGACACATCCCAAAGGCTCTCCCAAAGTCAGACTCTATACCTGGAGATTCTCAGCTACGAGTGAAATTTAAGATAAACAAGGATAGTGGTGTGCCCCCCCCCCAACACACACCCCACTTTAGACAGTCCTAAGCACTTCAGTGAGAATCCTTTTCCAATCCAGGGGCGTCTATAATGTTGGCTTGTTGTTACCAACACACACATAAGTGGTATCGTCGATTTGGTAAACTATGATAAAGCTTAGTCTTTTCTGCTAGAGCAAAGTGAGCATCAATCCCAAACTCAGGATCCTGGTTTGAAACTCACTGAAAGGGATAAACATGGTGAGTGGCTTTATAACAAACTGAGTGAGCTTTTAAATATTAACAGAAAATGTATTCTATAAATTCATTGAAAGATGTCATGTTTCCTCAACACTGTACCTAATTTTAGGGCTCCTGCTTAAGAGTGATTCCAGTACTGCATGAGATTTTAAAGTTGAAGGGGAATGGGTGGGGTGCAGAACACAGATGAAATTTTTACAGCATGGAAAAAGTATTTTTAAACCTTCTTGAGGGTGAAGAGTTAGGCAAGACGACGTGGAAACTGTCACGTGCTCCTCCTGACACCCACCCACCCACCAGATAGCATCGCAGCCGGCTGGGGGAGTCTCCCTGGCCTGACAGCTTCACTCGCTTTGAGGTCTGGAGCTGCTGATCACACTGGTCCGTCACGGTATTTTCAGTTAACAAAGCAGTTACTCAACAGGGGAAAAAAGGCACAAAGGAGCCGAGCAGCTGCTGCAGCACCCATGATGCAAGTGCAGGATGAGCCCCGGGCCGCCACCGCCGCCTCGGCTCCTCCGTGACGTCCGGGAGGGGTATCCCCGGCTCTCAGGAAGTGGTGGCCGCGGGCAGCTCCGCCCCCACGCGACTGGGGCCGGCCAGGCGGGACAGACGACGCGGCCCGAGAGGAGCTCGAGGCCGGCGAAATCCGCGTTCTCCTCCGCCTCGCGCGCCTTGATCCCGCGCCTCCCCGCAGCTCCCGGAACCCCCACCACGACCCCCGCCCGCCTCGCAGGTCACCACGCACAGTGTCCGGCCGAGTCCAAAATGGCGACGCCCACCGCCCCCGCGTCGTCGGCGCTCGGGGCGGGGTCGAAGCGCCCCCTTGCGCGGCGCGCTCGCGCCCGAGGCCCCGCTAAAAATAGCCGGGCCCGTCTATATTTGGTGCCGCCGGATCCCGGGGCGGCCGCGCGCGCCCCGCCCCGCCCCGCCTGGCCACGCCCCACCTCTCCAGGTCACGCCCTCCCTGCGCACAACGCCCCGCCCCGCACCGCCCCGAATGGAGATGGGCGGGGGTGACCGAGGGAACCTACTCCTCTATCCGCCGCGCGCGCCGCCGGCTGGGCCGGGCCAAGAGCCCAATTTAGTAACATCGCCTGCGTCAATCACGCGCCTCGCGTGCGTCAGCGCCGCGCGGCTCCAGGTCCTGCTCCCCCCTCAACCCCGGCCTTTGAATGGATACAATGTAGCAGCGCCCTCCTTCCTTCGGAGGCCGGCTGGGAGCGCGTCGCGGTGCTGGGGGCTCGGTGGCTCCAGGCTGGGGCCACTTGCAGAGCGTCTTCCCACGGCCTACTCTGCCCACGCCAGCCTGCCAGGAGTGAAAGTGGAGGCGAAGATAGACATACACATGATACACATGTAGGTTTGCTTTTCAAGTTTCTGGCTCTAGCCGGAACCTTCTTCGATTCTGAAACATGTACTAAGGAGCCAAGGATCCTCTTCCCTCAAATCTGCCACCCACACACGCAAACATGGGACAAGCCAAAATAAATAAAAAGGCCACATGGGATTCGAGCGGACCACTAGGAACCGCGTCAGACTGCATGCTTTCACTCAAATATTTCCTTACCAAAAAATTCATTTCTGGGAGGTTCCTTTCACTTCGCAGCAAACCTTTGGAACTAAGAGTGCTTAACTCGGATACATTTTTGTTTTGTTTTGTTTTGTTTTGTTTTTTTGAGCAAGAAATAGACATTTCATTTCCAGGAAGAAATTGCTGCCCTTCATACAGTCGCCCAGGCTTTCAGCACACTATGAACACAAATGTGTCCCAGGAGATCACAGCAAATCCCCTAGAGACGGACTAATAAATCCTGTTGATTGATTTTGAAATATTTCATTTGAGAGATGAGAAAGGGCGGTATCTACAACCCTTCAAAAACTGAAAGTGGGAGTTGAGAATTCCAAGTCTGACCCGGGGTGGGGAGGAGAGACTGTTAACAGACTCGCTCAGCTGTTCAACACGTGTGTTTGTTTTAGACATATTAAGTACTTTCTCGTGCAGCGCGCGCGTGGCTGGATGTGCAACTTCATTGGGTTATAAAGTGTCCAGTAAGGAAACCCACACCATAAGAGTAAAGGAATAAAATTTTGTCCCTGGAGCCATCTGCACTCCCTATACAAAGTATGCACCAGCCACTGATGGGGGCAGGAGGAGGAGGAGGCATATTACCCTAGGCGCAGAGGGCCAGAGAAACGTAAACAGCCCTAGAACCAGTGCATGAGCAAAGCACAGCTGCACCTCGGGGAGCCTTCGGGCTGCTGCCAGACTCCGTCAGCAGCCGCTGCCAGGTCACTCGGAGAAGCTGGCTGGCCCAGCCTTCCCTTTCGGAAGAGCTGTCCTCTCTCTTACCCTCTGGACCTGGCTGCATGCCCCAGGGCAGCCTCGGAGGCCAGCCAGCAGCACTCCTCCAACTCTACTCCACCCGGAGCTGACAGCTGGGCGGTCCCGCCTGACCCGCGGGCTGGCTGCGGCACCCTCCCGGAGACACGCGCCGGGGTGAGGCGCGCGGATGCCAAGGGCTGGACAGCGCGGGTCCGAGAAGCCCCGGGGCTGCGGCTCGCAGCTCCCCGCAGTTTCCATTGTGCAGCTGTCCGAAGGACCGGGGAGCGCGCGTGCGTGCACAAGCACACGCGCGCGCGCGCACACACATACACACACACACACACACATACACACACACACACACCCTCGCACACGCGGAACCGGCTGGGCCAGGGGAGGGAGGAGGAGGGTGACGTAGCGTCCCATGGCGTCACATTGACGTCTCGCATTCCAGGCACTCTATGGAGAGGCCGCTAGGGCTCCTGTGGCATAAATGACGTGCCGAGAGAGCGAGCGAGCGCGCAGCCGGGAGAGCGGAGTCTCCTGCCTCCCGCCCCCCACCCCTCCATCTCCTGCTCCTCCTCCGCTCCCCATACACAGACACGCTCACACCCGCTCCCTCACTCGCACACACAGACACACGCGCGCACACAAGCTCCGCACACACGCTCCACTCTCCCGGGCGCTCACACCCCTCTCGCCCCGCGTCCTCGCCGGTGCCGCGCCGCGCCACAGCCGGACGTCCCCGCTGGGCTCTTTGCTACGCTGACAGCTCAGGCGGTGGCCGCGGAGGTGGGAAGAGCGGCGACATCCTAACCCGCTGCTGGCGGCCGGAGCCAGGACGCCCGCAGAGCCTCCCGGCGGCGCTCTCCCATGAGTTGGGATCGCAGCATCCCCCGCCAGCCGCTCGCCGCCTCCGGGAACCGTTGGGCTCGGACACCGCAGCCCTTCCGGGACAGCAGCTGTGACATCCCCCAGTCCAGATTTCGGGGCCCGCTCTCTAGAAACTCGCTCTAAAGACGGAACCGCCACAGCACCCAAGTACGTATAAGATTCGCTCGGTTAATAAGGGGACTTGCTTGAAAGTTGGAGCGCCGGGAAGCGGCGCGCCTGAAATTGACAACTTTGAGCGTGGGGTGTCCTCTCCCCTCGCATCCCTGCTCCACCTTTGCTCGCCAAGTGGCCGGTGGGTTCCCATCTCAAACTTTTCCTCTGTAGCTGGCCCGCGGGGACTCTGGAGCTTGTAAGATTCCTCTCCCCACCCAAAGAAGCGAAAAGCTTCTAACAAAGAGGAGGACCGGGATCTGTGCAGTAGCAGCACCAGCGATGTAATTCAGGGTATTTCGGCTCTAGTTGTCATGGTAATGATGCTCTCGGCGGCGGCGGCGGCAGCGGCAGGGAGTTGCAGCCCCGGTGATGAACGGCAGTAATTTTCCTGCCTTTTAAGTGGGATTGAAAATAGGGGCTCTGGTGGGTCCAAGTTAATGTGCCTAATGGTGAAACGGAGCTGGTTGTCTGGGAGAATGCTTAGGGGGAAGAGGCCTGGGCAGCAGCGACCCGAGTTTGCTGAGCAGCTCCGAGAGCTCAGGAAAGCGGGTGTAATTGTGGGAATGCGGCTTTATTGTATTGAAATGAGCCTGGGGCTCCACTAGGCACGTCTGCCTGGCGTCGCCGACTTGCTGGTTTACACTTTTCCTTACCGAGGTAATAGGGTGTAATTGCCGACTCTCCCGCCCCGACACGCGTGGGGATGGCGTCCCCTTTCCTCCTGGCCTTGGCTGGTGTAGGAAAGGCATGAGTTACTTTTCACTGACAGAACTCGCGCTTTCGGAGAAGTTGCTCTGAGTGTTTTATACTCTTAGAAATGAAAGTTCTAAGAGAGGAGAGCCGGCAGATGAGCGCAGCCTGCAGAGGCTGGTTTTCAAAGGCACCTCTCGAACCTGTTGGAAGCTCCCCGGCAGTCACGAGGGAGCTCAGGAGCATGGGTCCCTTGATTTCCAAGAACGTTCTTGGAGGTGGCCTTTTGTTTATGTGCCCGAGTTCTCCCAAGGGGAGGGCTGCGAGGAGTTTGGTAATCAGTAATCTCCCGCTGCTGTCCCTGGCCTTGGGGTGCCCAAAGAGAGGTTACAGGGTTCGGTGAATCCAATCCTGGAGATCTTTTTTCCAACAACCGGGAAATGTTTTTAGAAAACCGAGTTAGGGAAAGAAAATCTGCCCTACGCGCACACTGAACACAATGAATGAAATTATTTTGCCCGAGTTGTTTTAACAGAACCAGATGCGCTTAGTGTGAATGTCATACTCCCCAGGCCACCACCATCTCCACACCCGCTCCCTCCCCCCGAAGCCCTCTTTCCTTTGGGGGACCCTGAGCTCGCAGAAATTCTCTCCGCGCGGTCTGCCTCGGCTCCCCCAGTCTTTCTGAGAATCTCTGTCTTTCCCTTTCTCCTGTCAGTCCTCCACCCCTCTTGCCCCTCCCAACCTCCGCCCCCGCTCCCCGGGGTTGGAAACTCCGCGGAGGAGCCCGGGTCACAATGGTGCGTTTCACGGTTTCCTCCACACTCTTCCCCACGGGGAGGGGGAACACGGGGGTGTTCCCTTCGTCTGCCCTCGAGAAAGAAAGGGGCTTTGACAGAGGTAGTTATTTCTTCCTAATTTACAACCCGGGGGCTCTGTGCTCTCGGCCCCGGCGGCCACGAGCGGGAGCAACAGAACGTGTTTCCAGGCTCGAAGGCTTTACCTAGGTAACCGGCCGATTGGGGGGCGGAGAGAGCGATGGGGCGCTGGGCTGGGCTGGAGGAAGGGCAGTGTGGCTGCAGAGAAACCCTTTCCTTGGGGAGGCGGGACCCCCGCCCACCCCAATTCAGAGGCCACCCTTAGAGAAAGAGTGCGGTTGAAAGGCCCAAGGGAAAGGGGTGGAAATGCCGGCACCCACTAGAAGAGGGGGTGTGGTTGCTGGAGATCCCCCCCCCCATTGAAGATGGGAGAGGGGGAGGACGAGAAGGGAATACCACAGCATGGAAAGATCCACTCGTGCCAACGCTACAACGAGCGCAAGGTTTCCGTCGGAGTACCTCGGGATGGGGGTGGCAAGGGAATCCCCCATTTCCTGACCGTCGAGAGTTTCCTAGACTTGGGGACTCCGAGCCCCTTTCTTTCTGCAAGCAAACTTGGGGCGCAACTTACCTTGGGTCCAGAGCTTCAAAAGGTTTTTTGGTTACTTTGGGGTTTGGGCTTTTTTTCCCCCAGTCTAGGTTCCTAACCTTTTAGCTGTGCCCACCCCGGGCAAAGGGGGCGCTACAGGCAGGAGTTTGGGGCAGCCGGATCCCTCCTCCGTGCCAGTCTTGCTGCTCTTCCAGCTACAAAGTTTCTCTAGGCTGTGCGCCGGGACATTAGCTTGGCGCCCTGCGGAATGTACCCCCTCTGAGCCACGGGGTGGCCTGGAGCCTGGAGGCCACCCTCCTTCACCCCGCCCGCTGAGTGCAGGGGACCTCCCTCTGCCCCTCGCCCTAGCCGCCCACGCCGGCAGCTTGAGCGCACTGCTCCCAGCGCCGCCTTCTTCCCTCCGTAAGCTTTTGTTTGCTTGACCCCTGGCCCCCGAAACTCAGGACTAATAGAAGCAAAGCTCCATTAGCATTTAGAATGAAAAGCGCAGACTTTCTTAATTCCTCGGAGCATTCATGCATTCGTTCCGGACCTTGTACATTTCCTATGCGACGTGTAAAATTTGTGTTTGAGGAGTGAGAGCGCGAGGAGTTGGAAAATGACTATTATCCTCTCACGCACACTCACTGACCCCCTCCCCTCCCCAAATTCGGGCTGAACTCGTTCTTCAAGTTTTCTCCTTTCTTCGGTCCCTCCCACCACCACCATCCGACTTTGCAACCTCCAAACCAATTATGGGTGCAGGGAGATCAATTTCTTGGCGACGACGGGTTGGGCGGCTGTGAGAGCAGTGGGTGCAGGCAGCCTTCCCTCAGCTTCCCCACGACAAAGTGATGCTTGTGGCCCAGGGACTCTGTGACCCCTGGGCACTTTTACTCAACCTTGTGATAAATTTTGTAATAAATTAGCGTTTCTACAGGTCTCCCACCCCCACCCCATTTGCCCAGCCCCGGGTGCGGTGACCCAAGTCTCACTGTCAACTCTGTCCTTTCTCCCCGTGCCCGCAGAGCCCACTGCGGGAGAGCGCAGCCCGGCACGTCCGGGCTTTGAGCCTGGATCCTCAGCAGAGCAGGGTAGCACCACAGTTGCTTCGCCTAGCCCTACGTCCCCGCTTCCTACACTCTCAGCCTCCGCTGGAGAGACCCCCAGCCCCACCATTCAGCGCGCAAGATACCCTCCAGGTAGGTCTGAAGGCCGTTACTCTTCCCGAGCAAAGAAAATGGGTGGGAAAACCAGCACCGTACAGGCTGGTCATCTTGCCCAGCACCATCACAGTGACTGCTGGCCCTGCATTTCACAGCACAGGTGGCTTCCTGGCACGAAGCTCCTCTGTGTACCACACCCTGTTGCTACCGAGTGGAGCAGCCAGATTACATCAAGCCTTGCATTTCTCAAAATTATGTTTCCTAAGAAAAAGAGCAAATACTCCAGTTGATTAGGATTTTTGATGCGTTTTAATGTCTTTATTTTTTTCCTTTTTAAAATCTCCTTTTATACTCAGTATATGTATTTAAATTAAGGGATAATGTAGAACAATAGGCAACATTTTTATTGCTATAAAACAAAAAATCATTTGTGGTGCAGAAGTTTGGACGATTGAGGGGGAAAGGGAAGCCCATCTGAGCTGAAAGCCAAGTTGTAAGTGTAAATCGGGCAAAAGAAAGGCCCTGGCTTTGATTGATGCCACCTCTTTACAAACTTGCTAAAAGAATACTAGTTATCAGGCCTGAGTAGGCACCAGAGATGCACAGATAACACGGAGGCAGCTAGCTCATCTTCAAGCTGAAAACTTCAGAAAGACACAAAGAAGAGAAATAGGCATTGTGGCAAAGGAAAATGCTAGAATCCCAGAGGTGCAAAGAGAGAAGGACAAAAAGGTCAGGCTATGTTCTTTCTTTTAAATGATTAGCCTTTCATTTCATCCCAAGAGCTAGACACCAACATATACAACCCTTTAACTACTTCGGGCTAGCAAGTATGCTCTTAAGGCCTGCCTGCTTGAAAAGAAGGCAGGCTTCAACTGGCCTCTCCTCATTACTGCTTCTTCCAACAGGCCCTTGTCACCTTTTTTCAAGTCAAGATTTCATCCCATACACTCATGACTCAATCAGATTTGGAAATGTGGGTAAGAGGAAGATGTCACAGGAAACGTGCAGCACTCAGTTTTCTATTAGTCACACTTTACACTAGGCCCAAGCAGAGGTTTGAGCACCTGGGTTTCCTTTGGCTCAGAAAAACCAACCACCAGAAACTCCCCATGTTACCACTTTGATTTAGCCATAAAGAAGGAAAATTATTAGATAAATCATCCTCTAGAGCCAGTAACTCTCAGGACCCTCTCCCCCAGCTCAACCTCTATAAATAGCAAGCACTGAGCGCTGAGGAAGGTGCTACAACAGCCCAACCTAGTCAAACTGGCAGAGAACCAGAATCTATTTAGAAATTACTTCTTTCTTTTCCTTCCATCACAAGAAAATACCTGGACTAACTTGCCTGTTATGAGACTTGTTAACTGTTGTCATAAATCAGCTACGATCTTATTAGATCTGAATATTTTATTAGTCAGAATTGGGAAGTACACATACACCTCTCTCTCTCTCTCTCTCTCTCTCTCTCTCTCTCTCTCTCTCTCTCCACACACACACACACACACTATAACAGATTTGGTGGGTGTGCTGTGTTGCAGCTGATCTTCTTCTTTGCAGATGGCATAAACTCCCCCGAGTCCATTTCCTGGGCCTACATGCCCACCTCACCACCTAAGCTGGCTGAAGTCATCAGTAGGGGTCCAGTTTGTGCAGGCTGCTAATTCTGTTTGGAGGAGTGGGTGGGAAACAGCAACCACAACTTGTGTGGGCAGCCTTAGTTGGCACTTATAAAATGTTAGCATGTCACTACCTCCCTTGGCCCACACAGGGCATCTTTTAAACTAACTCATAGGTTTACAAATCAGTGTGTGTGTGTGTGTGTGTGTGTGTGTGTGTGTGTGTGTGTGTGTGTGTGTGTTTGGGGGCACCAATGGCCTCTTTCTCCCACGCTTAACCAACAGGGCATTCACTGGCTTTCTCCCTTGATCCTAACACTGGGGAGGCCACTCCAGTTGGTTCCCAGAACTGAAAGCCACTTTTAAAAAACATCTCTGGGCTTATGAGGGAAAGCATGGAGTTTCCTGATCTGGGTGTGCAGAAGAGAGAGAAGATGGGTGTAATTGTCCCCAGGAGGCCAGATTCTGTCGCTCTGTGACCTCTTTGTCAGTCAGGGACTCAGCTGTCTTCTCCCAGAGGATGAAAGTAAATGTGGGGTGTTAAGGCTGTGCTAGCAGAGGGAGAGGATGCCACTTCCTCTATGTTTGCCAGATTAGAGAGCAGTGAATCCAGCATTATTAGCTGCCTTCTGAGAAGCTTTCCACTGTCCCCGCAGATATGCCCTGCGTGCAAGCCCAGTATAGCCCTTCGCCTCCGGGGTCCACTTATGCAGCGCAGACGTATGGCTCGGAATACACCACGGAAATCATGAACCCCGACTACGCCAAGCTGACCATGGACCTCGGCAATACGGAGATCATGGCCAGCGCCACCACCTCCCTGCCCAGCTTCAGTACCTTCATGGAGGGCTACTCGAGCAGCTGCGAACTCAAGCCCTCCTGCCTGTACCAAATGCCGCCCTCCGGGCCCCGACCTTTGATCAAGATGGAAGAAGGCCGTGCGCACGGCTACCACCACCACCACCACCACCATCACCATCACCACCACCATCACCAGCAGCAGCAGCAGCCATCCATTCCTCCTCCCTCGGGCCCCGAGGACGAGGTCCTGCCCAGCACCTCCATGTACTTCAAGCAGTCCCCGCCTTCCACCCCGACCACGCCAGGGTTCCCCCCGCAGGCGGGGGCGCTGTGGGACGACGCGCTGCCCTCGGCGCCAGGCTGCATCCCTCCGGGCCCGCTGCTGGACCCCCAGATGAAGGCGGTGCCCCCGGTGACCAGCGCGCGCTTCCCACTCTTCCACTTCAAGCCCTCGCCGCCGCACCCGCCCACGCCCAGCCCGGCCGGCGGCCACCACCTTGGGTACGACCCAACGGCCCCGACCGCGCTCAGCCTGCCCCTGGGAGCCGCGGCCGCCGCCGGCAGCCAAGCTGCGGCTCTCGAGGGCCACCCGTACGGGCTCCCGCTGGCCAAGAGGACGGCCACGCTGACCTTCCCGCCGCTGGGCCTCACGGCCTCCCCTACCGCATCCAGCCTGCTGGGAGAGAGCCCCAGCCTGCCCTCGCCACCCAGCAGGAGCTCGGCATCTGGTGAAGGCACGTGTGCGGTGTGTGGGGACAATGCCGCCTGCCAGCACTATGGGGTGCGCACCTGCGAGGGCTGCAAGGGCTTCTTCAAGGTGAGCGCGTGCCTCCTCCAGGTGCCTCCTCCCCTCTGTAGTCAGGCAGTCAGTCCCCTGCGGAGGCAAGCATCTAAGTGGGTGTAGAAGCAGTCCTTGCCCTTCCCAGTGAGGAAGCTGAAATCTACGCTATGCAATTCCATTCCTAGGGCTAGAATGTCAGACCGTCATTCCCAGGGCCTTGAAACTTGAAGTCCGTGTTGTAACAAGCTGTCTGTCCGTGGACTTGAGGGACCTGCCAACCTCCTGACCTGACTTTGCCTTCTGAGCATTATTTTCTGAACAGAGGCTTCCGGAGATTCTCAAAAGGATCCACACTTGACCAATACCCAAACCTCATTCATCCCTTCTGTCCATCCAGAGTGTCTGAGAGAGTAGGGCCTACACAGCAGACTGGGGCATTTGTGTTTCAGTCTTCACAGAAGAGCAGGGTGCCTAGAATGAGACAGAACCGAGGTTGACTTTTGGTCACTCACTAGCTGTTTTTATTCATAGTGTTTTAAAGATAGATAATTATCCTTGGTTGTAGAGGAGGAAGTTCATAGAAGTAATTTAGTTGCCACAGAACACACATTCAAAGAGTGAGATGAAGGCAGCAGGGGTCAACTCGTGTGTGCCTGTGCCCACAGAATACAGTCCTTTCAGAGCTCTGGGCTGGCAACTGGCTAGAGGCAGCTTGGGACAGCTTCCTCCATAGAAGATAGAACTTGGCCCTCACCAAGCCACTCTGTTCTCTAGGAAACCCTCCCTGCATCTCTGCACACACACATAGTGGCAGGCTGGTCATTCTCTCATAGACCAAAGGAGATTTTACAGTGGGAGGGACTTCAACCTCCCATACTTTACCCATGAGGAAATTCAATCCTAGAAAAGTGCTTCCTTGAGCAGGCTTATGCATTTATCTAGCTTGTGTGGGGGCTGGGCCCAGCTGATCTTGACTCTGGCCATTCAATACTCTTTCTACCCTTGATGTGTGTATAGGAGGAAGGAGTCCTGCCTTTTGCTGTTGAGTCTCAGATGGTTCTAGATGTTTCTGTGCCATTTTCTTCACTCCCTGCCCTACTTTAGGCACTTGCAGACCCACACAAGTTACATAAGAGAAGCAGGATGCTGACTGGGTAACTAGGATTTGGGAGGCCAATAGAGTATATCTTGGACCAGGCTGGAATTTGGGTCAGAAGATTCGAATAGGAACCCTTATTCGTCACCTACCAATTTATAATGTTGGAAATGACACTTCTTTCTAGGCCTTAGTTTCCCAGTCAGTGAGTAAAACTCAAAGAAATAAAAACTTATATAAGAGCACCTTATAAAGAGCCATAAAACAATAGATATTTATAAAATGGTTATGAAAATGTAGATTTGCGATTGTGGGTGGGTGTACAAACCAACAAGCAACAGTTATTTTTGATATGAGAATGCTTATCATGCCACTAATTGAATTCTGTAGACAAACGAAAGATGCTTGTAGAGACTTTGCAATATGTTAGATGCCCTATAGGTATACAAGCCTCCTTTTCAAAAAGCCATTTCAGTTAGCCTTTGTTTTATTCTCAGCGCTAGGGACCAAACCCAGGGCCTTGTGCCTACTAGGCAGGCTCTCAACCACTGAGCTAAGCTCTACCACTGAGCTAATGCCCCAGCCCTGGGCTAGCCTTTTTCTTTTTTCTTTTCTTTCCTTTCTTTTTCCCTTCTTCCTTTCTGTTACTTACTCAAGCTGTCCCAAGTCTACTTCCACATAACTACATCCCTTTAGCAGGTTTAATTTTTATTAAAAACTCAGTGGAAACTCAATAGAAATACTGAAGGGCAATGAATAGAGAACAGGAAGCAAGAAAAGAAACTCAAGAATTAATGACAAGTCTACAATAGAATCACTACCTAACTGAGAGCTCATCAGAACCGTGCCATGGTAATACATCCCAAATCTAGAAATGGCCATTAATGTTCCCCAACAGCTTCCCTTTTCTGCAGCAATCCCTTGAAAATAGATCTATACTTGAAATGGCAGGGGCAGGCTGGGGTAGAACCACCCCACAGGTCTGTTAATTAAGGGAATGGGAGCAGGTTTTACCCAGTGACTTTTCTACCATTAAATTGAATTCTTTAAAAATGTGACATGAAGTGCAGTTAATGATGGGAATTCAGTGATTGAACCATAACGATCTCTCCCTGTCCTTAAACGTGCAGACATACACAAATGTGGGGAAGTCTTCGGGTTATTGGGAAAATGTATACCTGAAGCAAAATACCACCAGCACTTAAATTGGCATATTGCCTTGAGGATAATAGCCAGAGAGTGTTAGAAATTACCCCAGGTTCCAGAAAAGAGTTTCATTCAGGAAGCCCAGCTTCCTATGCTTAGAGACTGTTGAGAATCAAAATGCTGGAAACTCAGATGCATATCTGTCTCTCAGAATTTTTCATTTTAAAGTGGACATACATGTCTTAGACATGACAGGTTGGATTTGCTATATTTGTAACCATATCCTTGAATGAAATTAAAAAGGTGACAAGGTGAAGCTGAAACATGAATGATAAGGAGAGGAAAAATAAAGAAAAGGTTAAATGTAAAGCTAGAATTTTGAACACAAAATAGACCACTAAACCCAGGTTACCTAGACTTCCTTTAAAAAAACATATCTCAAATATTTCCATTTTTTTGACTATATATGGAATAATGTATAGATTCAGGTAATTTCAGAACAATTCCACCATAAATGGTAAAATGCATCCATTTGTGCAAATGTTTTCATTTTTAAAAAAGCATTCTTTTACATTTGGAGCATAAGATATGTTTAATTATTTCTCCATGTGTTATTCTCAAAATTCTACATGATTCAGAAAAATACAATGTTATTTTTATCTCTAAGTCCAAGTCCTACGATGTGTCTTTTATAATGTGACTATTTTGGCGTCTGTGATAATAGTCATTTATAAAATATAGGAATTTTCACTGAAAATCTTGGCTTTCCTATTTCTTTCATATATACTTTTTACTTTAAGGGTAAAGTAAACTATATAAGCCAATTAAGTTAAGTTCTTTTTTAATTAAAACATTATTTCCTATATGTTTTAATGAGATAAACCTTGATTTTGCTTTTTTATGATTTCATCTCTATTGGGTAACAAAGCCAGTTACTGTGATATTTGACTTACAATAGTGATAGCGTACAAAGCACATCCCAGATAATTTTGATTTTATTTTAATAAGGTCAACAATAATCAGGGGAGTGGAACAAGTAGAAAATTGTTCCCAAGGGGATATTAAAAGTGGAGATAATCTAATCCTCCAAGGTATGATATGTTGACCTGGTAATTTCAGATATGATTTTATCATTCAGAGTTGGGTGCCTCTTGAGACTTGCCTCAGAACAGCCCAAGATGATTTTCACTGTCAGCAGCGAACACTAATAAAATTGTTTTTCCTGCAGGCTAGCGTGTTAGGAAATTAAATTTATCTAATTATACGAATTGCACTGTCGCTTTTCACATTGTAATTAAAATACATCTTGTCAGGTCTTACCTCTTTCCAGAAAGTATTAGTTGACTATCTCTGTATTGTATTTTCTCAGAGAACAGTGCAGAAAAATGCAAAATATGTTTGCCTGGCAAATAAAAACTGCCCAGTAGACAAGAGACGTCGAAACCGATGTCAGTACTGCCGATTTCAAAAGTGTCTCAGCGTCGGGATGGTTAAAGAAGGTACGACACGTGTTTTCCACCCAGTTTGTTTATGTATATTTTCAGATATCCGAGAAAATCTGTTAATATTTACATTAGAGCAGCAAATTTTCCTAGTTTCTCTTTCCTTCGAACATTTTCTTTTTAATGGTGTATATATATTTACACTAAAGTAACATCAAGGGCTGCTCATTCTAATTTCTCAACATCAGTTTTAGAGGGCCTTTGTTCTATTTGAGAAAGATTTTTTCAGAGCTAATTCATTATCAAATGTAAGTATAGGATATCTTTTTTTTCTGCTTACTTCAACTCTCGTTCAATCACTGTTGAACATTATTCCAAATGTACTGCCACTTTGAAATGGTGGATTCCATTAATCATTGCCAAAGTCTAATGTGTTTGGATTCCTTTTCGTGATTTATGCTTATTGAGAATGTAATCTTTGAACATTGCCTTTTCTCTCTGTGTCTCATCAGTTGTACGTACAGATAGTCTGAAAGGGAGGAGAGGCCGGCTGCCTTCCAAACCAAAGAGCCCACTACAGCAGGAACCCTCTCAGCCCTCTCCACCGTCTCCTCCGATCTGTATGATGAATGCCCTTGTCCGAGCTTTAACAGACTCAACACCCAGAGATCTTGACTATTCCAGAGTAAGTTCTATGAAAGCTTTCAAATGATCATAATATTCTGTTCATGAGCGTAGTAACAAGAGTTGGTTGAATGACTTTCCTCCTGGCACTGTGCTAGTCAGTTTTCCTACCTTTTCTGTATTTCTCATTTCACTTAGCAATTAGTGCATTCACTGCACCAAATAATTTTTGCCTTATTGAATCTCCAAATGCCTCAACAAATGACCCTGCCAGGGTTGCACCTGTCATACCCATTGTTGCTGGATTCCTGCGGTACCAGCACAGGTGAACTGCAGTTTGTAGAATTGTTTTTAATGGTCTAGCAATAGTGACTACTGTTTTTTCCTATTGTGACCAAACCATCTGAGTGAGTCTCAAGCTATCCTTAAGCAGTTTACCTGACTGCATCTGCATTAATTGACCTCTACTTTATTTAGGGGGATTAGATGGTGGAGAGGAGCAAGCTCTGGCCTTGGCATCAGGGGGTGTCAGAAGGACTGGGATGGAATGCTGCCTCTGTTGTTCCCTGCCTCTGTCACCTGGCTCCTGCTCTTGCTTTCTCCTCCCCACAGTGGAGATGATTACAGTATTTAACCCCAGAGGGGGTTTTGAACATCAGTCACACAAGGATGATGAAAACATTTTGAAAACCATAAATGATTTCCAGTGTTGTTATTTAAGGCAACCAAAACATATCAACATTTTAATTTCACATGAGATATCATAAAATCTCACCAGGATGAACTCTGCAATTTTTCCCCAAATTCGGATAGCACAAAGAGCCATGAAAGAGAATTTTCTGAGAAAATATACAAATATTACTCTAAGACTGTTTTTTTAGGACTTTGAAGGGCAAAGTTTTACTAAAACAGGGTCAGACTAAAGATAAAAGGGAAGGAAAAACGATCCCAGTTACTGAAAAATTTTCATGCTAGACCTTGTACTGCGCTGTCTCATTGTACCTATTAAACAACCATGACCTACAGAGAGCATTATCTCCAAATGAAGACAAGAAAGCTTAGATACCCAGATGAAAAGAGGCAGCTGGTATGGGGCCACCCACTGGTTGATCTGATTGGCAACTGCTAACAGACTGCCCTCCCCATGGCTAGTTCAGCAGTCCCAGCATCTCGTTGAATGTCTGGCAAAGAAGAACACGGGTGTACCTTTGGTACACAAGATACCTTTGCCTTCTTTTAAGTTGCAGTATTGACAGAGATGATGGCTTTACCTGCTGTGATCCTCTTGCCCTCCTCCCCACCCTCATTATAGGCAGCAAAGCCCTCTTTACACCTGATCACAAGACTCCCTGTAAGTAGCATGGTAGATCCTTAGCACCAAAGGTTGAGGACTCTTATTCTGATTGCAAGTACCATCTCTTGATGAAAGTCAAGTTTCAAATAATAGTATAACAGAATAATGCAGTGTTTAAGGACTCAGGCTTTGGAAGCAGGCAAGCCTAGATGAAAATCCTAATGCCACCATTTACTAGCTGGGTGACTTTGAGTAAGTGATTCAATCTTTAATACCTCAGTTTCCGCATCTGTGTTATGGGTTATATCACTTACTTCCTAGGGGTGTTGTGAAGATTAAATATGAAAGCATTTGTGAAAACTTTACCTGATGCCCTTTATAGTGTTCTCTTGATGGCATTTTTTTTTTTTTTTTTACTGTGACCATTTGGTAAATAGGCTAATGAGTATGGGCACTACATAGTCAGGTACCATGTAGCAACACATTAAGGTAAGTATTATGATCTCCATGGCTCAAATAATCAAGTCAAAACCAGGAGAGGTGGAATAACTGACTGGCCCAAGGTCACAAAGCTAACATGCATCTGAGGTCAAATTAGCAGCCATGTATGTCGGGCCCCAAGGCTGTGCTCCTTAATGTGGCATTTCACTGCTTCTCTGATTTCAGTGAGGGTAGGAGCCACGAGTATTTGGGAATACTGAAGTCCTCCAGCCTCCTCTATGTGGTTCGTCTGCACCAATGAAGCTTCTAGGTGCTGCCTTGGCTAAGGTTCTGGAACACAATCTATCTGACACTGTTCCAGGGCATCTGGCATTGTTACTGATGGTCATCCCAGAGAAGGTTGGGCCTCCAAAGTGATATTTTGTTCCCCAAATTATCTAATTATTAGCCTCTATGGCTTAATTACTCATTCAGTGGCAATGTCTCCCTGGCACTTTGAATTGTCCCAGCTGGGAACTGTCTCCACACTGAAAAATCAATCCAGTATGTTTGCTTGCCTCTGTACCATTCAGTCTTAGTCTGGAGTCATCATCCTCTTCAACAAACATTTATCCAATTTAATTGTTAGCTTTGTCCCAAATAGCAGATTTCCCATGCTAGAGTCTGGGTCACACTGAAAGTACCTTTGCGGCCTAGCTCAATTTTGCAAAGCATGGTTATTTTATTTGCATTGTTTTGGAGTCAGGTTGGACTTCATGACTTGGGTTCTCCTGCTTTAAGATAGCTCTACAAAATTATCAAAAATTGGACCAAAATCAACTAAATTAAAAGACTTAAAAAAATACAGTGAGCTTTCATCAGAAACTTGGAAGAAGGCACAGGAGCATGCTGATCACATTTGCAGATGACAGAAAGCTGGGAGGGATCGCTAATATGATGGATGTCAGTGTCAACATTCAGAATGATCTCGACAGGTTGGAACAGGAAGAGCTGAAACCATCACGAAGAAAGTTAACAAAAATAAATCGGAAGCTCAACATTTTTTTAAAGGGAGAGCCTTGGCTTGTCAGTGGTTCATTCAAGAGTTTATTCCATAGATAGTATGATCCAAAAGTATATTTATCTGAAAGAGAAGGCTGCTAAATTACCTGCTGGGGTAGTGGAAGTATGGAACCAGACTTAAATTCCATATGATCCCACAGATTCTGTCCTTTCAGGACCATCCTTCAGGGATTGAGCTCAATCCAAGATGAGATTTAAGGGGAATATGCATACACTGTTTCTAGAACCCACTGTTTCTTGTATGAGATGGTAGGAGAAAATGGAAATATGTAGGCAGAAAGGGAGGTTTGTAGTAATTAGGTCACTCTTTTCCCATGTAACAAAAAGAAAAAAGAATTTTGCTTCCCTTGGCAAGTCTAGAGGGAGAAGTGGTGGGAGAGAGGGTGTCCAACTTGCTCTGAGGACAAGCTCTCTTGGATACACTAACTGTTGTCAAAGTGAGGTCGGCAGCCCAAGGGGAAATCCAGGAGTACCCATAACAGGATTCTTCACAAAAGGAAAGGTTGTTTGGGATGACAATGAGTCCCTTTCAACTCTTAAGATTTTATGGTTCTGAGGTTTACCTTTTTGTAACTAAATATGACCACATACATAAATATATGCAGACACACATAAGAACCTATATGTGATTATGTAACTTAGTAGTTATCCAGATTGAACTTGCTTTGTTGTATATCAATACATTAGAATTGGGGGCTGGAGAGATAGCTCAGTAGTTAAGAGCGCTAACTGTTCTTGCAGAGGACCCAGGTTCGATTCCCAGCACCCACATACATGGCAGCTGACAACTGTCTGTAACTGCTGTTTCAGGAGATCCTATGCCCTCTTCCCACCTCTGAGGGCATTGCACGACACAGATGCACTTACGTACATGTAGGCAATACACCCATACTCATAAGATAAAATAAGAATAATAAATAAAATATAAAAGAACATTAGAATTGGTGTTGGGGAGAAGGCTTCGTCAGTAAAGTGCATTATCATGCAAGCCTAGGAACCTGAGTTTGAATCCCCAGGCCACATACAAAGGCAACAGCACACGCTGTGATCCCAGTGCTGGGGATGGGGCAGCAGGAAGACCCTTGGATTTGCTAGCCCATCTAGCCACTCATGAGCTTCAGATTCAGTGAGAGACTCTCAAACTTAGGTAGATTGCAGGGAGGAGTGGGGGTAAATATGACCAAAATATACTGTATACATGTTTGAAAATCCCAAAGAATTAATAAAATATTATAATTAAATGTTTATAAAGGTGGAGAGTGGTCAAGGAAGTCATCTAACATTGACCTTTGATCACCACATCACATGTACCCACATACCTACATACATGTACATGCACTAACACATACATACATATAACATACACACACACATACACAATTAGAACAGGGCTAGCTATTTGGCTCAGCTAGTAAAGGTTTTTGCTACCAAGCCTGAGGATCTGAGTTTGATCCCCAGGACCCACGTGCTGGAAGGAGAGAACTAACTCCCACACCATGGCACACAGATGTCCACACACATATATACAAATTAAAAATAAATATAATTGTTTTAGAGTCTCCCTGTAACCCCAAGTAGCCTGGAACTCACTATGTAGATCAGACTGACCTCAATCTCACAGGGATCCACCTGCCTCTGCCTCCTGTGTGCTGGGATTACAGGTGTGTGCCACTACATCTGGCTTATAAAAACATTTTTAATATTTAATGTATTGTTTTATTTTGTGTATATGAGTGTATTGCCTGCATGTATGCAAATGCACCTGTGTCATGCAATGCCCATGAAGGTCAGGAGAGGGTGTCGGATCCCCTGGAATTGGAGTTACAGATGGTTGTTAGCCACTATGTGGGTGCCAGGAATCAAACCCAGGTCCTCTTCGAGAGCAGCCAGTGCTCTTAACCACTAAGCCATCTCTCTAGCCCCCCTCATAAAATATTTTAAGTGCATGAAACAAAATGTCTATTTTAAACCAGGCACCACCTTAATAATTTCACTTAAGCCCTCAGCTCTCGGCTATAGAACTTAATAGTTTCAATACTTTCTAAAGATTGTCATGTACTGAAACTAAACCTTCACAATACTTTCCCCTTAAAGTTTTGATTATAAAATAAGAACTGAATATGACCTCAAGATCATCTAATCTAACCCCCATGTTTTCAGAGGAGTAAATGAAGGCTCCCTGGGGTGACTTTGTTGCCTAGGGTCAGTGACAGGGCTAGGGTGAGATGCAAACCAATCACTCAAGGAGATGCTTCGTCATATGG